GACTGCTGAGACCGCCAAAAGGAGGGGGTTAGAGAAATTAAAAACAAAATAAAATTAATATTGAAATGATCTTTTAGGCAAGTCTGCTTTGTGCAATAAAGAGTTTGCTCTTCCCTCCTGGGCAGTAGCTGCTCATCACAGAATCTCTCTTCAAACTGGTCACCAGTACCCAGCACCATTTTAGGTGCATGAGAGATCTACCTTTAGCTGCCTTAGTAGTGGAAAATACCCCCACATATAATATTTGGATGGAGCACAATACCAAAGGAAGCACAAGTACAGGGCACCATCTTGGGGCGTGTCTAACTAGAGAAACAGGGGTTTCCTCATGAACATTTTTGTCAGAAGGAGTATAAGAAATGTGATCCTGATCACCTCCCCACCCTCATTAAAACAGAGTTCCACTAATTCAGCTGGACTGGGATTTGGCTCATCCCGCTTTGCTGGAAATGTTCACCTTTTTTTGGCTGTGGGATGATATATAACTACCTGTTAAGAGACAAGGACTTTAGTCCCATGTACTTCAGACAAAACAAGAAAAAAAGTCTGTCTTCAGCAATTAATCTAGTGAAAAGGAATCAAGAATGTGTTTATTTACTTCTCATTTATGTGCTTTTAATTTGTATCAGTTATTTTAACAGCACACACATTGCCACTGCACCTTCCCAGTTGTTCTAGCAGGGTGTGTATTAAATGTTGTGAGACATTGTGCAAGAGAAAGAACAATACTTTGAACTAAATGTGCTGTCAAATTAAAGTCTTTTCTTGAGCAGTGAAAAAGTCCTGAGGCTTTTCATGTCGGTGTATTGTATGGTGAGGCATACACTGAGATATTTTTATTTTTCACCCCTTTGAGAAACATAGCAAAGCAGAAGTAGATAATTTCTATAATTGCAAACATTTCTAGACATCTGCTACAAAAACTCAAAGATAATCCTCTCCCCATCACCCCCAGTAATAAAGGGGGTCCAGTATTTAAAGTTGTCATAATGTTTTTGAGATACAGGAAATCAGCTGGCAACACCTCAAACCTTGCCAAATTATCCCAGAAACAAACAATCTGACCTGTTTAAAAAGCTTAATGTGCATTTTAAAATGAATCCCAGGGTGTAATTTCCTAAAGATGAACACCAGTTCTATTTTGTGCTCTGAAGAATTCTATTAAACCTCTAGAGCATTTTGAGCAAAGTGAAAACACAGTTTGCTAAGGAGATAGCCTAGGTGGTCTGCAGTAAATTAACCACTACTGCTGACTGAGGCCATACCGGGGAGTTTGCTCCAAGGGATTTCTACACTTACAGCATAACACCATTTACCAGCTTCTAAACTAGATTTGCCCCCTGGCTGCAAGTCAGCAAACCTTGGTGTAAAGCATGGCCAGAGATTAGTTTGATTAAGGGCTTCATTTCAAGAGTGGGAGGGTGCTGCTGTTACACAAAACTGAGTCCAGACCACTACTTACAACACAGTTGTTTTTTTCCCATCCATCTTTATGCAGTTGAGTTTTAGGCTGCTGGACTATGGTGGCTGTGTGTTGAGTAAATTACAATAGAAATACCTCTCTGTTGCTTTGTAACAATTAACCTCAGAAAGAAGCTAACTCCATTTGCATGGTAATGAGACATTCATCTAAGTGACATCAGAGTTAAGCATGCTAATAAGTTTTTATACAAACACCTGAGGGGTCAAGCACAACCATGGGCTTGGATAAGAAAACCTTTTATTAAATGCAAATCACTTGTCTCTGAAATACTATGACAGAGAAATTTGCAGAACTCTAACACAGCTTGCAGAAGTCATTCAAGTTACATTTTCAGGTCTCTGGGCTGACTAAGGAATACAGCAACTGATTTATTTATCTTTGGAATAAATATCAATATCTAAAAAATCTTCATTATAGCATCAAAGGAAAGAAGTACTACAGAAAGGTAGAGAGGGGAAAACAAGAATATTGCCTTATCTTTCCCAAATTTGTCACAGATTCCTGGGTTGCTGGAAGGCAGATGAGACACAGCTGCTGTAGAGCACAACAAAAGATTTGGAAATTTGTCAGCTTTCCACCTTATTCACCTACCTGTTTTTGCCAGGTATATTGCTATGGAGGCAGATTCACTAGTGAGCATGCTCTCTATCTTGCACTAAAACTTATTGAATTCAATCAGTCAATTCACATTCTACAATCAAGGAGTTTGAGACCTTAGTGAGTGGTCAGGTTCAAGGGCATAACTGGCTGCCAGACACCTTTGGGACTAAAGGAGCAGAACCTTCTCACAGGTTAGGCAGATTGCAGAACAAAGGTTGAGGGAAAGAAGCAGACTTTGATTAATTTAACAGACTGAAGTGTAGGAGGTTTCTCTTGCTCAGGAGAGGCTGTTAGCAGGACACACCAACTCATCCTGACAGCACAGGCAGTACCAGAGAGCAGGTTTGGTCCATGCTAACAGGAATGAGATGCAGACAGCACTCTGAAAAACCCATGCCAGATTGTTAGAGGTTTTGCTCCCAGACTAGAAAATGTGAATTTAAATATCCAGTGGGTGTAGTGGGAATTGATCTGTCTTTAAGACAGAACTTTGTAGAAAGGACTACATCATATGTCTGTGTGCAATAGGAGGAGACTGTATTAAAGCACAGAAAGTCCTCTTAATTCCATTGCTGTATGATGAGCTACTTTGGGGGAAAGCTTGGGTAACGTATAATATTACTACTCAAAACACAAGATCTAGATCAAGGGAGTAAGTACACATCCCTGGAAGTGCTCAAGGCCAGGATGGATGGGGCCCTGAGCAGTCTGGTATAATGGGTAGCATTCCTGCCCATAGCAGGGGCTGGAATCAGATGCACTTCAAGGTTCCTTGCAATGCAAAATATTCTATGGTTCCATAACATTATAAAATTTATCACATTGACCCCTAGCACAGAACTACATCAGCTCTTTTAAACCAAGTAACTATGCTCACATTGCTGTATGCATTAAATGACAGAAACCCAGTTATGGTATGCTTCCCAAAGATCCCTTTTACTGCATAAATTACTGCTGTCTTCAATAAAATTAAATATCATTATTTTGCTGCTGTCCTGTTTACAGCATGTAAAACATGCTAGTATGCCATAATCTAAAACTTAAGCCAATGGATTGTGGAAAAACCCTAGGAAGATAGCAAGCTTCATGTGAGAAAGTACAAAGTTGTGAATAACCAAACCCTCAAAACATATCTTGACAGAAGCCTAATACTCCACGTCCTTTGAAAATCAACAAAAACTCTGGGGGAACAGCTCTGAATCATCATCATCAGTAATATGCAATAATTGCACCACCCATGTGTCTTCAAGTACATCAAACAGAGTGAGACCTCGCCTTGCCGAGGCTGGGATTCAGGATTTTAGGAAAAACACATTTAAGACAACAACTATGAGCTGAAATGGTCCAAATTGAAATAACAACTGTATAAGAGGGAAGTATAAGATTAGTGTAAAATGTAAGACGAGTAGGATAACTTCCAATAATTTCTTTGTAATAAGGACAGCCTGTGCTCCTTTCACTGTCCAAACATTATAAATGACAGCTACTTCTTTAAAAGTAATTCTGGTTAAATTGGAGTTTCTGAGGAGGAAGGCAGGAGGTATATATACAATACAGACCCAGTTTTTGAGGAAGAAAAGCTTATTTCTGGAGCAAGAAACTAAAACAAACCTTTTAGCCTATTTTTTAAATTATGTTGTAAAAAATGAAGCTAGGAGAAATTACAAAATGGTGAGCACCGTAAACATATTGGTTTTAAACTTACACATCAAGATTAAAATTACAAACAGACAAGGTCTTAAAAATGTAAGTTCAGGGATATGCTGATGAGATTTAGGCCCTAAGAGTGTTAACCCACCCAAAACTCCTGCTTCACTGCTCAGCTTTCCAGCTGTGGGAAGCAACTGTGACAGCAAAAGCCACAGCAGCCACTAACTCAGTGCTGCAAAAAATCAGTCTCCAAACAGGTATGCCCTCCTTAATGCACTTCCAGGCTTGAAAACCTCAACTCTACTGCTCAAATCTCAACATATTCCTACCTTTCAATCCAAATTTAGCAAAGAACCCAAACAAAACCATATAAACCCACTAAATTCATACCCTGACATATCAGATTCTTAGGAAAAAATAAGCTCCCTGAATATATTGCTAGAGGAAAAACATTACTAATTACATCATTGTAAGCAGTGCTTCTCCACTTTGTTCAATGTTTTCAGACAAAATATCAAACAACTTTAATTTTCTGAAATCTGCTGGCTATCATCTTGAGGAAACAGGCAACTGTCAGTTTAAGACACAATGATTTATTTTTTGTTTTGCCACTTTTTTTACTGCACTTCTGCAATCCAACACTAGGAACAGAGAAAGACAAACACTGGATAGGGGAGAGATGCAGATCATTCTGTTAAAAGCATTTTTTGTCTTGTACAAATAATCATTATTATGTTGCCATTGGAAGATGACCAGTACTATTAAAAATTCATATATTTAGTGAGTGTTTCTGAGAAAATGAACACTTAATAGTAAGAGAACCAAAAAAATTAATGAAAACACAAAATAGGAACCTACAGCTCCTTACTGTAAAGTGACCTCTGGAACACCACTGATCTTTGGTGGCTGTTTCCACTGACAGCTGGTGTGCCCATTTCCTTTCCAAGAATCTCCTCATTATTACCCAAAAACTCTGACACTCAGAAACAGCGTAGGAAGAGAACAGTCTTCTGCTTTGCCAGGAAAGATTACAATGCACAGGAAAGGCACAGTATGGTTTCAAACAAAGGTATTTCCTTTGAACTCTAGTATAGCTTTTAGACATAAAAATCTTCCTCTGGCTATATTGTCCTGACATGACTTCACTGGTCTTAAGACTAAATAACAAAAGACTTCAAGCTCAACCCTATGTTTACTCTTTTCACAGTTTTGGAGTCAAAGACCATAACCTTAAACAGAAATTTGAAAAAAAAATATTATTCCATACCTCATTGTGATTCTTGCTTAACCATTCCTTAATAGTGCTAAGGGCAATGACAGCAGCAGGCTCATTTGGAAAACCTAAAAAAGAAAAAAAATGGGAGATAAATAAAATGTATATATTTCTTTTATATGTAAGAAATCAAAAATATGGGCTTTTATTTCTTCCTATTCTTTAAAATATTTTGGAATTGCAGTTGGTCAACTCCCTTCTTCACAGATTTGTATAAAGGTTTTAGGCAACATCTGTTACATTTTTCCCCAGCTAAATAAATAGGTACAATGCTTTATTGGATTTTTTTTTTTTCCTTGACTCTAGTTAAAAAAAGTCCACTGCTCAGGACAAGAAGAAACAATAGAGAGCTATACATGTGTCATACTAGGCAGGCAACTATTCAACACATCTATCACAGTAACAAATACCAGGCTTACATTTCATGGCAGCAAGAAAAATTCAGACATTTCTTAAGGCATAAGGGCATTCTTAAGGCTTTCTTTTTTTTAATCCATCTGTCAGCAAAACTATACCACACTATGACCCCAGTGCCATAGGCCTTATAAAGAGAGACATGTTTGATTTGGAAATCTCTCAATTTATAACCTGAATCATAATAAACAACTTTGGAAATTAAAGAATTCATTAAGCATAAGCATATGAACTTAAGGCCTTATGTTGCATGATACATTAGCAATAGTAATTCCCCCCAGCATTAAACAATAACAAAACTCTTTCCAGGGATACAGACTTTTTGCTTTGATGGTTTCTACCTATCAAATCCATGGATGCTTTCATTACTTAGTCACCTTAATTTAATTTTCCTTTAAATTCCTAACTTGGGGGCAGCAAATCATTTCTGTGAGGATTTAAAAATAAAACCCCATAAGCTGTATGAATCGCTCTCAGTAGGCTGGATTAATAGAATAGGCTTTGAAGAGATGGAGCTGCAGGCATAGTGGACAAGCAAGCAACAGGGCTAGAAAGAGTCATGAAATTTGGCATACAGCAGTGTAGATACAGCCTTTCTTACATCATACATCACCCTTCCACCATAAACTGAAACACAGATACTGCAGAAAATTATAAATGTTCAGCTTTTTTTTACTTATATCTTCTTTAACCCTTTTCTAGAATTTGTGCAATGCAAGATTAAGAAAAAACCCAACCTAAACCAAAATCCCTCCACTGAATCATGTTCCCAAAACATCACTCGCTGTGAATTGACTGCAAAAATTTGCTCCAGCAGCCTGTGTACTGTTCTGAAGTGACAGATGACAACAATTCATCAAGAAAAACAAGTAAAATAGTCAATTTTGGATAATACCAGCATTTAGCATGTGCTTCCTTTGAATACATTTCTCAATAAAGCCTATTTTTACATTTTAAAAAATAAACTTACCAAGTCCAAGATAGAAAACTAGCTTAGACCCTGCAAATGTTACTGTGGATACGTCTATTGCTGCTGGGAAAATAAATTCTTGTAACATTTAATAATGCTGCTGATATCATCAAGGCATATGTCTCTTGACACCAACTAACCACCACTAACGAAACCCAAAGCGGGGACTTCCAACAGCCTCATTTTCATAATATAAAATAACAGAGCTCTAAGCAGACCATCTGCTCAAATTAGTAACATCCTAGCTAACAAACTGGGACTTCTTCACATAGAAATTCCATGCTCTGAGTGTGGTAGCTCTGCCTGGACATAAAATGAACACCATGCAGAGGGACAAATGCATATTTCAGACAACTGATATATTATTGTTTATGCACTGAATGGTTTATTTTCAGAACAATTCTCCCTCCAGCAAGATTAACTTTTCAGGCTTGTTTTTCACTCCCTTGCAGCAGGGTAGTTGGCCAAAATGGTGATAAAGCACTGAGTATTGTATAGAATCTCTCCATAGATTGCACACTGTTTAGAAACTGCTGCCATACTTACCAGTCTTAAATAGAACCTTATCTAGAAAACTGGTTTTCAATTACTACTAAGTCACCACAATGTAAAGGAAATAGTTCAGCAACGTAAATAAACAGCCTTGAATCATGTGTGTGATTTCAGAAAATATGTTGAAATCCATCATAGCCTTTTATGATCGGCTACCCCCCAAAAAGAATAATCTAACTAGCATCTTACACACATTTCTGAACATTTTATGGAAAGGATTATCTTATTGACTGTATGTAGAAGCAGGATGCAATTAGCCTCCTGTTGCAAACCTTGCACCAGCACAAAAGCCCCTCTGTCTCTGATTCTCAAACAGAAAAACATTTTTGTTTATAGGACTGGGTTAAAGGAAGATAAAGCAAGGTGGGATCTGTTAAAACATGCTTTTGCATTGTTTTTATCTCTAGCCTACATTTGCCTGCCATAACATTTCTGGATTGCTTCCATCTGCACCCCCATTCCTCCTTCCCACTTTCAGTGAAAAAGCAATCTCAGGAAGCACGTGGGAATCAAATTACTTGAGAGAAATGAGCTCGAGGTGCCTCACAGTTTACTGACTGCTGGAGCAGCAGCTCAGGCAATTCTGGCTAAAGGCTCAATTTCACAAAAGATAAAACAGGTAAAGTAATGAGTGACACTGGGCCATGTTACTGCAGTGAGTGCTCCTCCAGCATACTGAAAAGGATGAGGGCACAAAAAATCACACATTGGCCATGAGGTACAGGGCTTCACTGTGTTTATTTGCCTGCAGAAATTGAGAGGGTTGGCAGGTTGTATGTCATGGGCAGGTGTGTGGCGAAGTGCACCTGCCCACAGACACAGGTATCTAACTTGGACTGAGCTTTTTACATCCTCCACTGCCACAGTGAACACCTTGGCAACCTACCCAGCTATACCAAAAAACAGTGCAGGTTGTGTCTGCTTCCTGAAGAGCTGCTTCAGCAAGTGACAATGTTATTGCCACCATCTGCATTTTGCAGTGCCAACTGATGACATCTCACCATCCATTACCAGGATCTCAGCTCCTCAGGTACAGCAAAACCCTGGATATGAGCAGCCACTCCTCTGGTGCCCCTCTGAGTTCAGAAGCCATTCTTAACAGCACAACTTTCATTATCACAGCTGATGGCACAGTGGGTGCAAGCCTTCAGAGTCAGTAGGAACCATCACATAAAGTACACCTCATCTGAACTCCACTTCTTTTGGTATGTCTTTGCACAGATACTACCCACAGTGACAGCCCAGGAAAGCTTTCAGAGGTCTTCAAACTTACAAGAATCTGCAACTCTTTCCAGGGCTTTACCAACTTATTCCTGGAAATTGTAACCCTGACCAGTGAAAGAGCTGGCAAAGCAAGCTGTAGGCTGTGGCAGTCCTTGCAGTTATCATGGCCATAATTTTCCTGCAAAGGCATGATAAGATATGGCAGAATTATTTGGATATGAAATAAATGTGCTGTTTTGAGGAAAAGGGTGTGGAAGATAACTAAGGTAGTAAGTAGAGATGCTCACTGATATTCCCATTACATTTTGTATTTCTTCCCTGGAATGCAACTGGTAAGAACATAAATTGTCCTGTTTCATCAAAGTACACAAAATATGCAATTAATTCCCTGTTGTTAGACACCCTTGTGTAAATGCTCAGTCTTTTGTGCTTGAGGGATTCAGTGGAGAACCATTTACTAATTATGAATGTCTGCCATTCTGCTTAATTTATCTGTGCAGTATCCAAAAAACATATACCAGTGGTCCATAGAATCATAGACTATTCTGAGTTGAAACATACCCACAAGGATCACAGAGTCCAACTCTGGCTCTGTACAATACTCTTCAAAGCATAACAGAGCACCAAGGATTTTGAGACACAAAATTAACAGAAATCTATTTCAGGGACTGCCAAACTTTGTGGAATGCTGGTAGCTTTATCTGCCTATTTTACTAGGTTTGATCCAATCTTACAAAAAAACGTCTAACTTACAAATCAGGTAATGCCACCTCCCCATGAAAAGCCCATTAACAAAACACGGGTATTAAGTAATCAAACTTTAATATGATCTGAGGATTAAGATAAGAGATTATAACAGGAAGGCTATAATACTAACAAGCAAATGTCAATCCAGAAAAATCACTTCAGTAGCTGTAGCAATAAGTGTTATAATTTGTCAGTTCAACTGAGATGCCCAACTAAGTCAGCTTCTCCTGGTAAAAAAAGGTCTGTATCCTTTTCTGCTAGCACAGCCTAAGTGCTAGTCAGGTTTTTATTCATTTAAAATGTTCTCTCTCTATGGATTCTAAAAGGCTCGTCACAGGCTTAATATTCTTATTTGCCAGTTTTAATGGTTTAATTTTGAAGCAAATCATGAAAAGAACCAAATGCACATCAACACAAATAATCATTATGTATTTTCATATTTTTTCTCAGAAAAATATCTACGCTGGCATATTTGTGCATATATCAAGATGTAACAGTTTGCAGACTGTTCCTGTGTGCTAAAATCAACCCTGAGTCCCACGGCTTAATCAACAAGACTGTTAAAATGGAAAAACTTCCAGGTTTTAAATGTATAGATTTGTCAGTATGTTTACAGATATATAAATTATGGACTCCAAATAGCAGCTTGTCACATTTTTAAACTGGGGGACTGCACTGAAGGCCATCTCTGCAGTCAGTATGACAGGGTATCTCCACCGTGCATCAAGTACTTGCTATGTGGGAACCATCAGCACCAGATGGCATGGAATACAAAGATGCTTTAAAGGAAACAAGTGGGAAAGAAGAGGAAAAAAGGTACTAAGAATTTATTCCATACATGTTCTGAAACCTGATATTATTGTCGGTACTGTAAATACCTTCTGAATCACAACCAACACCTAAATAACTACGCTTCATTATGGCCATGTGGGTTAAGGCCAGCTATTGACAGCACAGATGATGCTGCTTAGGACAATAAAAGAGAATAAACGAGATGCACAGCCCAGCATGCCTGAGGTAGGGTTAACTCAATACATCCACTTGTCCTTCAGCTGTGAAATAAACAGAATAAGCTTGCAACTGATCCCATATAATCATCTTGTCAGAGATGTATTTTAAAAATTAATTCACTCATGAATTCACGTTGATTCCCATTAGCAT